AACAAGGACGGGGATGAAAGGCATTTGCTCTGGTAATATAGGTACGGATTCTGCGGAAAGACCGAGCTTTTTGGCAAGATGTACTAAAATCCGAATCAACTGTAAGAGAGAACTTGTGTTCCTGTCGATTTTCTGCTATTGGGGGTGGGGAGGGTGGAGTGGAAGGAGGTGAGGGTTGGGTTGACTTCAAATTTTGCGGCATGGGAATGTCTCTGACCAGGAACTCCAGAGTCGAAAGCGAAACTGTTGGTGGGACGTGGCGTTTGCTTTCCCAAGTCAATGCGCACGCCAATTCAGGTGACGGTATGAAATGAGGATGAGGATGCAAGGTGATGTGGTGGTAAAACGTTTAAAGTCAGCGAAATGGGACCTATATTGTCTGTTGATTAATTGGACGGGTTCTACGGGTTCTTGTTGTGAACATAAACACCGTGCTTGCACCTCTACTGCGTGGGCTAGGGCGCAGATGGATGAAGGCCAGTTGCAAGAACAGCCCTTTGGCAAGCGAAACAGAAGCTTCAAGGTAAGCCCAACCCTGAAAGGACCTTGCTTAGTCAGTCTTGGCGCCCAGCTTTGATTCTACTTGGACACGTTTACCCCTTACTCCGAGTCAAATGTATCAAATGGGCTTAACATAGACTATAGAACAAACCAACCACGTCTTCTTTTTTTATTATAAGTCCATGAAACTGGTACCAGATTTACCTGACTATTAGAACTCTGCTAGTGCAAGTTGCGTGATTGTTCAAATGCAGGTTGAAAGGCTTCCGCGATCCGGAATGGAACACGAATCACTTGCGTGGCGCATCCTAAATCGCTTGATCAGTTTCGAGCTATTCATCCTTTCCTTTCTCAGGTCACCCAACTTTACTCTGCTTCATATGCTTCTTGAACTACCGATGAAGGTGTGGTCGAACAACAGTCTATGGCTTGAGGAATCTCCACCGTCCGCGCATCTCTACGATGTGATGCCCATCATCAACAACATTCTTATGGCTCGTAATAATCTTTCAGCTCTTCAATTTCGATCTTTTGGAAAATTTGTGAATTGCATCACCACACTTTTTTGTTTCAGAAGCATTGTAATGGAGAGCTCACTGTGTGGCTTCGGCAGCCAAACTCCAATGGCCTTCAGCCAATTCTTTACGCTGCAGAGGCTTACTCCAAACTTGACAAACCTCTTCATTGTCAACCTGCTGAAGCTCAGGTAGTTACTTCTTTTATCCATGTGGAGTGTTTTGTCTCCCACATTCAAAGGTATTTAATCACACTGCTCAATCAAGAAAGAATGGTTCCGGAACTTAGTATTAATGAAGCCGGCACCACTCTTGACTCGCCTGCCATTGTCATTCTACTCACATTTTTTCGTCCCGTCTCTAGAACTTTTGTATGGAGCTTTGTTACGAAGCTCGCCGGTAGACGCTCCGCTCGGCCGCTTCGTGCACGTATCACGCTCACCTATATGCCTTATCCCCCTCTTTCGTCAAGCTGTATCCATTTTTTTCCGGTGAGCAGAATTTCGCGGAACCGAATTATGGAATTCGTAATGAACGTCCTCCACTGAAAGGACACACTCCGCCCATCATGGGCGGGCTTTCTCCCAGTTGAAATATGCCTGAAGAACATTTTAAATATTGCTCTCCCACATGATTTTTTTCTGCTCCATAGGCTGTCTCCTAACCGAGATATGGATTTTTTTCATCTAGCTTCGCCCATTCAGGGACGACTTGCCGTATCGGCCGGCGACGGGCTCCAATAATTCGACTGTCAACTCAAATGCACACCCTTTATCCACGCCTTCCCGCAGGTCTGAGCGTGGTGTGTTTCTAGCAATAGCACCTCGAGAATACTACTTGCCAATTGGCACTAGGCTTGCGGCAGGGCGCGCGATCAGCGCTTGCCCCGTTCATGGCGAGAGGGGACGTTCCGCGCGCGATATACTGATACGTGGTAGCCTGTACTTTGGCTTGGACCCACGCCAGCGAGCCATCCCAACATCTGATCGCGAACTGCTGTGTGTGGATTGTTGTCACGTCGTATACCAAATTTCAGTGGACAGGCAACGAGAACTACACTGACACATCTTAGCGCATCGATTGTATTAGGTTGTCCCATAAGTTAGTGTGCATGGACACTTTGGGCATTTTTGAATTCGAATTTTTTTCTTTTTTAATCGAAGTTCTCACTCACCCAAGCATACACCTCTGTCATCTACAACGTATTGTCTATTCATGGGAATTTATTCGTTGTGTCTCCCCTGAAATTTCAGGAGCTCTTGATCGAAGAAAGACCGGAAGTCGGGGTCGAGGTCATGTTACTTTGCGCAAAATTTCATCCTGGGGAAGAGGGCTAGAGCTCATACTGGGTTGCCTTTAGTTGGCACGAGGTTAGAGCTACACGGCGGAGGTGGAAGTACTGTTAGCCTGGGAGTCTCCAACTTTTTATGAATATTCTCTGCAAGGTGGGGTCAAACGACCTCAGGAAAAAAGCAGACATTGTCTTGCTTTACTGTCAGTTCGAACGCGTCGCCATAACGCTATCGACATCTGACTTCTTCAGTGACCCTAGTATTACTGGGCGGCGGTTCCCAGCGCAAGGTCCATCTCGTGTTTCACGAATATCCAGGAAGTGTTGGACTTAGAGGAGGTTGGGCTTCTGCTGTCAGAACTCAAGAATCGTTCAAGATAGGCTACCGTTCCTTGTGGATTTGATAGCACACTCCACCCAGTCCACAATCCCAGTGAGCATGCTGGATGATCATTGTAAGGAAGTAAGAGAGGACAGAAGGAACATGACGATGTCAGATCGTGTTTGAAGCTGATTCGGGCACAGAGCACGGGAGGAACAAATTTCATATTTTTAAATTTTAACGACTCTACGGAGTTGTCTACATTTCACCATCTTAACAAGTTGGATACGCTCTAGCAAATAGCGACTAGTTTGTTCAGTTCCATTCTTAGTGGCGCTGGCTAGGGCAGTGAGATTGCCAGTCGAAGGGTACCTGGAGTGTGGGTCATCTTCAAATAATAAATTCAACCCCGGAATAGAGTCAATCATAGGTGCACCGTGGATTGAGCGAGCGTGCCCTCGCCTATCTGCTGGTTGATCCACAATGTTGTTTGGCGTTTGAAAGGTCCTAGTAAGAAGTGATGAAGAGAAGCTCAAAAATAGGTTTCAGAAAAATTGATGAAATAGCCATGTAACGCATCATGTAAATGGGCTAACTAAATGCTCAGGTAGGAGAATGTGGGTGCTACTTGGCAAAACGTGTTTCACGTCTTTACCACTTTTCTTGGATTTTTCATACCAATAAATGTAAAGTGATTCACTAATTATGGGACAACCTAATAAATATGTAGAGACGGACTTAGTCAGCTTTGTCCGTCTAACCCACCAGTTACACGCTACATACATCTCACTTGTGTGTTTGCCTTCAAATGCTAGTCTCAACCATCTAAGTCGAGATCGGTTTGCCTCGAATGATGAATGGCCCATTTAAATCAATGTTTCTGCGATCGGCACCGTGCACTGGTCGTCATTACTCGGCTTGTAGAAAGTAGTAAAACGATTGAATGGATAAGATCGAACTGAAGAGTGTGGTAGAATATGCCACGGCGATTCCGTACGGTCCCGCAAGGGCATGGCAAAGCGTAAACGCTGGCAAGGATACGAGAAGGACCATGTAGAAGGATGAAGGAAAGTTTGGAAAGCACCGACCAAATGTAAACATTGTCATATAAATAAACAAATGTAGAAATCGATTCTAAAGGCAGGTGAAGTCAGAAAGTGTAAAAATCGTCCTGCAAATATGCCTTTCGATAGTATGACTGTTAATGGCCTCTTTTCTAGAATTTCGTCGATTACGTGAATCGGCTGTTCATGTGGGGCTGTGAGCTGTGCCCGGACTGCCTGACAATGGGGAATCAATGCCCAAGAAATCTGACCAAGAGATATGGTTTTTCTAAAGACACTTCTGCAACTAGTTTGCCTTACATAGCACTCAACATCAGGCTGGAGAATGGCAGTTTACAGCTACTGAAGACAAATTTTGGAGAAAGCAGTTCAGAAGAATGTCTTGGGTACAGCACAAATTTCTTTTCTATATTTCCTCTACCCATTGAAAGTGTTTCGTCCTCGGAGGCACACACACTCTTGTTATTACCACTGCGAGAAATAGTCAACTTTGGGGGCGGATAATGGTGGCATAGGATGGGAAAATCCCAGAGAACAACGCTAGAGCCCGAGAAATGCTGGTGAATGTCTCGTTCCGCTGCCCGCTGATCCGCGATTCGCGCCGTCCGCCTGGAGGTGATGCTAATCACCGGGCATATACTGTCGCTGCGAATGCGTGGCAAGCCGTTCGCACCCCCGGGGGACGCCTTCTGCCGCTAAGTGAGGCATTCTTCCTCGACCCTTTCGTGAAATCCGTCCTTTTTTATATGCTTGAATTGCTACCTCAAATCTGTGATATGGAATGTCTTGCACGCGAACGCATCTGGATAAAGCTTACTAGTAGCGGTCACGCTGTGAGTGAATGTGTTGGTCCTGTTTCCTGCAGAGGCGTGCCATCTTCGTTCACGCAAAATGTGACCTTGAAGTCAGGAGAGTAGAACAGTCTCAGCAGGGTTTTTCCTTCGACACTAATGGCGTGGAACGATGCGCTAGCCTAGTCAAGAACATAAGAAGTGTGATTGAACAAAAAACTCACCTTGGAAAGCCGCTAGGAAGGGAGCTGAACGGCTTCGAAGTGGGCGTGGTTGGAAGTCGCCGAGGGGTTGCAGCCGATTGATCCAGCTATTCTTGGCGTCAAAAACTGCGTAATTCTGACACAGGTCCCCACGCACTTGCCGTAGATGCAGGGCAGTTGTGAACAGCTTTGGTAAATTTGGTGCCTGAAAATATGATTCTAAAGAATGTGTGTAAATTTTGAAAATCGAAGTCAAATCAGCACTTTCTTGTGACTAGTAGCTTAATAATGTGGATTTGGCACATTTCAGAAGAGAAAGAGAACAAACGAAAATCAACGCTAGACGCCCGTGATCACAGTGCTACCCCGATGTCGTCTTGCACCCAAAAGAGAAGCAAACAGACAATAACTAGAAGTCGTTAGAATCACACTGCACCCCGACGATGTCTTGCGCCAGCCCGACGGTTGGACACTTTCATTGGTCGACTCTTCTTACGGTTCTTGTACGGTAAAGGACGCTATGGATGTGCTGCTGATTAATGAGAAGAATACCACTGCTGAGGCTGGTGCCGGCCATACGAGAGCTCCCAGTGATGAATTCTTTACGAATCTTATAAGTGTTGATTCTCGTTTTTCATGCTGTCGCGCCCTTTATACACAGCTTTCATCTGAATAAAGAAGTGAAATAAGTAAAAGAATTTTGAATTCAACAATTCACACATATTTAATCGCGGCATAGTCCTTTAACTAAGACTTCTGTTGAACGATCATCTCTCGCAGGAGCAGGGACAAATTGAGCCTGGTTTTCAGGCATTCCCCTTTCAGTCTTGGTCTGTTCTTTCTAGCAGTTTGCTGAATAGTAGTATTGCTCACAGAAGTTTGCACGGCGTTTGACACTAACGCCTTTTTTCTGGGAGAACGTTCTGGCATGAGGTTTTATATTTTTGTTCAGGAATGTATTGGCGTTGGAAGGCAAGGACGGCTTCGGGTTGGTGATTACGGCGACGAAAAACGACCCAAATGCTGCACGCCTGATTCTTCAAACGACAAAGCAACACGGCATTACGGATGGAGTTCACAACGCCATACTTCGCTATGAAACCAAACCTAAAGAAAACGAAGAAGGTATGTTTTGCCTGATATTAATGCTTTTGATGTTCACCTACTTCATGACGATGAATGAGCAAGCAATTCGTTAACCCTCTGTTTACCCCAGTGCTTTGAATTCTCGCCTGAATTCTCCTCCGTAACGATCCCCTGCCTTATTGAGCCTGGTTCAGGTTCCTTGTTTGAAGGATGACATGCATGGATAGTACTCGTTCAAAAAACTGCATAGTGGCCGCTTGGGGTGAACACGGTCCATTGTTGAAATTCTCTGGGTGAGAAGATCGTGCAGGTCATCATGCCGCCCCTCAATATTCTTGGAGTCGATTGGATGGTAGCAGATTTCTCTGGAACTATTAAAACCTTGAGATTGCACAGGCCTGAAAGCCGTGTTTGCATAAAGTTTCATGCACGGCAAATGCTAGACAGGGATTGAATACTTCACCCATTACTTTTACTTATTAATTTCTAAGTTAATGGTCATCAATAAACTGGTGTAACTGGTAATTGGCATTTCAGTAAAACCAGTGAACAAATCGCTTGCAATGCTGTTTGTCGAGCAGAAGTTCTTCGATCTGGTGCAGGAATTGCAGCTGAGCCCAGCAGAATGGAAACATATTGATGCCAGTTCGTGCTCCTGTTCATTATCGATTCAGTATCGATTGATGTTTCTGCTTTGATAAAATCATATATTCAGATGGCGACAACTTATGGCATTACGCTGCGAGAACACAGGATCTGAGAGCTGTGGATCTGTTCCGATTTATAGAGTCGAAAGGAATTCCGATGAAAGTAGGAGTGATCAGTGAGAGGGAATATGATCCCTTATTAATTTGGCTATCTATTTTTCAGGGAAATAGTCAAGGATTCACTCCATTACATGAGGCAGTCCAGTCGTGCGACTGCTCGGCAAACTCAGTCTTGGAGCCAATTGAATGGCTTGCTGCCAACACTTCGGACATTCCTCGGGATGTGGTGAGCACATTTAAAGTTGTCTTATCATCCGATTTTAATCTCTTAAACATTCCCCTAAAATCAGTGATCTAGTCGTAAGGGGTTGCAATAACTAGTTCCTATGCTGTTAACGAATAAATTTGAGGAACACCAGGCAGTGTCTCTATTAGAGTGTCCCTCTGCACAAGTGTCTCAAAGACACGTTCCACAAAACTTGAGGCGATATTAATTCTTTCGTTAGTTTTACGTGTGCAAGCCACAGGGTTAAAGATTTTCACAGGCATCAAAGGATTTTCCAGCTTGACAGAAGATGCACCATCACAAAACGTGCTCATCTTGCTAGCAGCCTCCCCTTGATTTGATCCATACTAGTGTCTGCGTCTCTCTAGTCTCTGCCCTATATCGTCCTCCTCCGAGATATTCTCGCTCTAGTGTGCGTTTATACTCGTACTTGCTTTCACAATGCTCCAGCTCAACTGCAAGAATTACCTTACTTCTTCTAAATAAAAGGGCTTTCAGTTGGGCGAACTCCTCTTCACTACGCTTTCGCCTCACGGTCTCAATTCACCAAGGGCGCGCTGACAAGTGAACTCCGTGATCCGATTGCCGTGGTGTCGATTCTCACTAGGAACATGAACAAGCAACAAGTGAGTCTAGAAGGTCAAGTGTTACCTGAGTCCACGGGGATATATCAGTCTTTCAGCTCGACTGGGGTGACTGTGAAGGGAATTCGGCACTTCATTTGGCTGCTTTCAAGAATGCCAACATCTGTGCCGTAACGCTGATTCGCAAAGGAGCCAGTGTATCTGTCAAGAACAAGGTTTGTTAGGGTATGTTGCTTTCCAGGAAAGGATGTATGCAGGTCTTTCTAGGAAGGGAATATACCTCTAGCGGTAGCAGTGCTGCATGGTCGCCAATCGGTCGCACTCACACTCATTCAAGCGGACAGCTGTGTCACTGAGCAGGTATGCCTTTCCTGTCTTCATACACTTTTTAGGTTATGAACCCTACATCCGATGGCAGTTGAATTTATTTATTTATTTACTTTGTGTCGACGGACGCGCTCTAGTAAAGGTGTCAGTATCTACTGGAATGGGCCAAAATATCATTGTGGATCAACAAGACTCATTCATTTTCAGGTATTCCCTCCGAAACCGATTGAGGTTCGAAGAGAATGTTTGGAAATGGAAGGGTGTGTCTAGTACGGTAGAGAAGGCGGCTGTGTCGACGATACCGGCCCAGGTGGTCGCCACCAAATGGTGGAGCTGGAAGAATGGTCTACAGTGACTACTGATGCTCTGGGACGGTAAATTTTGTTTGAACTTCGTACTGGTTGCCTGAATAAGTGTGTTCGCTTGGGTGCAGAATTGAGAAATGTTCAATTTGAAACCTCTTCTTTTGAAATTCTGACTGACAGCGGGAAGACAGCAAATCAACATTCGGCTAGAAAAAAGTGGATAAAATCAACTCTTTCTGGAAAATCAATTTGGGTAACCATCCCAAATTGCATGAAAACTGTCCTTCATTGTAGCTGAAAAGGCCATCGCCTGCAGTGCTTTTTTTTGCACTACAACTCTTAACTCTAAATGGAACAACGGATTGGCAGCATTATGTTGGAGCGGATATATTTATGGGAATTTGATCGTAATCCAGATTCATATGTAAGTACCGGAATTAATGACAGAGGAAGTTACTAGTACTAATTCAGCGAGAAGTGGCAATAACATCAGATATTTTGCAAGCAGCAAGCGTAAGTAAACTGGCAGGGCGAGGAGTTGACACCTTAAAGGCACTGGTCGGGATCAAGTTGGTGCATTTTCGCGCCCGAAAGTGAGTGCACAGATGCGAAATGGAGCGCCAGTGAAGAAAAAAAGACCGAAATTAGAACCCGTCCCTCCAACAGCGGCGGAGGCTGGCTTAGGAGGAGTGCATGTTCGAACGAGTTTTCGGCATGCCACCATTGCTGGCTCCGTGAAAGCAGCTGATACGGCAATCAACCCAGCTGATTTCACGCCTTATGCCAGCCACGCACCACTTCCGGCGGTGGGCGGTCATAGCTCACGTCGTCCTAAATGCTAGGCCAGGGTTGTTATAGCCGCGCGGTTTCGAGTCACGAGCGCGGCATCACCTCTATGGTTGCAGACCCAGTCATAGTATCGACAGAGCGGGTTCCTTGATCGCCTAATCCTGACCCATGCCTTTAAACTGGCTCTGTCTGTCGCGTTAGTACCTATTCAGCTTCTGCCGTAAAACACTTTCTTAACCACGAAACGCGTTCTCAAATACTTAGGGGGGATGGTAATTACAAAAAGGAAAGAGAATAGATTATTAATTTTCATTTAAAAACTCAAATTTTATTTATTTGAAAGGCGATAAATTTTTCTGCTTTCTTTCCTGCTAGGTGCAAGCCAAACCTAACTGCTCCCAAAGTGGCTATTGGAGAGCACATTCCATCTGAAGAAGGCGATAGAGGGAGGGCTTGCATTTGCTAATAAGGGAATTTCTTGGGAATATTTTGCTGTAAAACTTTAGCAGCGGCGGCAGTCTGTGCGACAAAAAACACTGATGTGCGACATGGGCAAATGCCTTTTTTGCTCCCTCTCCAATGAAAGTAATATTAACACCTTGGAGCCCATGCAGCCCATATGTGGGCTGCAGTCCGTCGACCGCTTAGGACCTTTCGGCTCACATTTCGGAAACAATATTACGTTTTCTTTCATTTTCTTTTCCATCGCATTTGATAAGGTTTCTTCTGCATCATACACTAGGTTTTTCCTTTCAATTTGCTTGATAAGATCCTAAAAATTTCACTGAAGTCCCACGCGGCCACAAAACGTAAAACATGCGCGGTTTCCAAGTTGAGTATAGGGATGTTCTACCTAAATATACATATTCTATAGTACATATACAATATTCAGATATGATCGCAAAAAAGTCGATATTCGGCCACTGTTATAAAAAGAAACTATTTTTTAGAACATAACGTCAATGGTGCAGCTGATCGATGCTTCGTTGAAAGAACGCCAGTACAATTTAGCAAATCAACTCCTAAAATCTCTGATAACCAGAGTAAACGGGAAAAAGCTGCCGCGTACGGAATATAACCTCTTGTTGACATTCGCGGAACATTTCCGAGGTAGTTTATTGACGGTCATCCTTCGTGGTCCTTTTTCAGTTTGCCTTTTAATTGGAACCATTGAAGGTGATCTGGCCGAAGACGGTGTGGAACAGGCGGTTCTGAATCGCCTATACTCATTGGGCTGTGAGATCATGAACGACGGTGTCAGTCTACCGATTGAAGCGTCTGTTCGCCACGGCTCCTGGCCGCTCTACAGACATTTCAAGGTGCAGTTTATATCAGCAACTATTAGTAAACTTTGAAAAAGGTTCAAAAAGGTTGACATCACTAAGCTTCTGTTAGGGTACCCTCCATTGAAAAAAACCTTCACTCTACCTTGTACCTGGAAAAAGGTACTTTTTTGTGAAAATTTTATAATATGTAGAAAGTTCATGAGAACCGACATACAGTAGCGGTCAAAAGTGTTCGCCGAAACGGTTTTTCGTGCTTCTTTTTTGCCAGAAAAAAATCAATGGTGGCCTCGAAAAATTTTTCTTTGAATATCCTGATTCTTTAAGACTTGAGGATATAAAAACACTAGAAAACATAGTATATCAATCTTTGGAGGGCGTTGCTCAAGCGAGAAAAAATAATGCACTGAAAATCGTTTCGGCGAACTCTACTGTAGAGGGAAATAAAGGCCAAAAAAGAATCGAGTCATATGGAACCACCATCTTGTCCAGTTGTTTATCATTTCGTAGGGTTCTCAGCAAGACTGATTCTTTATTGATTCCACTTTGAAGGCACGTGCTGGGAAAGACTTCGCCTCACTTCGACCAGCTCAACCAACTCAAGGGCCCTTGAGGAACGCAGTTCTTCGGCTTTCGGAACGATGTGATGCTGAATCCGATGTTGTGCTGCGTGAACTCGCGTCATTACCCCATTTCAGGTGAGCTCACATTTTTTGCTTGACTTCACGGTTCCTCAAACCTTACCCAACCATCGAGTTCTGAGGAAAAACAAATTTAAAGAAAAATGACGGGACTTTTCTGGGAAGCCTTATAGAGACATTGTG